AACCAACATTTTTTATTTATCATGTCAGAATGAAAATTGCATGATGAAACAGTTTCAAAAAGTTGTTCGGCGTTTAACAAAATGACCAACTAGGAAAATCAGGCCTGTTGACTTGCATGCATTTCTTTTTAAACATTATTGTAGGGCTGTACCCGAATATCCGAATATTCGTTCGTTGGAGTACTATTCGGGTTTCAATTTCGTTATTCGGATATTCGTTTTCTCCCCCCGTTTTTTTTGGCACTGCGGCTGCCAAATTGAATGTATTGAAAACTCCAATATCAACGTAAGAGCTTGTGCCTCTTCGGGGGGTGCCAACACTTAACCATAAACGTTATCGTTTACTTTCTCCGTTTTTATATGTAGATATTACTTTTTCTCCGTTAATCTCCGTCAAGTTGTTTCTATAGCAACAACAACTTCCTGTCAACAGCGCTAACTCTCCTTCAAAATAAAATCATGTCCATACAAAATAGGAAGCCAAGCCAAATTACACTTAAGGCATATACAACTGCAACGAAAGTAACAAACACAATGCAATATCCTTTTCAATTTCAAAGAACACAAATTGGGTTATACCATAGACTGTTAATGTGTATAACCCTTTATATATACAAATAACTATAAAACAACAATAGGCCTACTGTAGAATACAGCGACGTGCAGTCAGGGGAGGCAGAGCCATACTCCAATGTAACGGAAAAACAATTAAAGAAAAACTAAATAATAATAATAATAAAATGTCTCCACTGATCTGTGTTGTAAATGTGATTTCTGTATGATTCCAATCGCTTCTTATAGTCAAAATCAGCAAATTTGCCGAGCTCCGCTACAACTAGGCTACATGGGAGCGATGAGGATTGAGGCAGGGGCGAGCTCTGCCTCTCGTAAGCCCACAGTAACTTGCTGGAGCGCGGGCACTAATTTAGCGCGGCCACTTATTTTGTGAGCGCGCTCAAGACAGTTACTGTGGGGTAAGGTGAGGCAAAGATGAGATCTGCCTCACCTCAGAATGCGTCACCCCACAGAAACTGGCTGGAAAGCGGGCACTAAGCGCATGCCTGTTACCATCTCACTGTAGGTCACCAATGTAATGTTTGTAGATCCCTTTATTACATGTATCCTCGCCATCCATAGTCTCTAAATAACTTATTTCACGTATATATGTTATTTAGGCTCGCTGGTCTCATCGTACAACGGCAATAGAGAACCGCAGTGACGCGTCCTAAAACCCTGGTTCCTTCGACAAAAATGCAATGCAATTTCTCCATAGGATTTTGGAAAATAGCTCGAAATAAGGTCTGTGGTTGACACACATTTAAGAGACGGATCACGTTTTGTTCAGCCGGATAATCTCCACATGTCTACCCTACTTTTATAATTTTCGAATCATAAATCTATCGATTTATGATTAGAAAATTATAAGAGATGGGTATTTCAAGCTATTTTCCAAAATCCTATGGAGAAATTGCATTGCATTTTTGTCGAAGGAACCCATGCGCAGCTTACTTCCGGGTTTTAGGACGCGTCACTGCGGTTCATGAGAAAAGCACCATGAGAGGCAGCCATAACCTCTGCCGCACTGAAGGGGGCGCACTCAGCCCACAGGTTCTTGTTGCTACTGTTATTCTACGCAGAGACGGTAGACGCAAACAACAAACTAGACTTTTGAAACTAGAGAGATAAGGAGGACTTTTACAAAAAAGTAATAGAGATTGTTGTCCAGAAGGATAGCATGGACTTCATCTTCAAGTCAAGGTAAGACCACAAGTGTAATGAAAATGGGATCTTACTAAGAAAGAACAATCCAATATTTAGATTTTGGGTATCCTTTTGTTGAATGGTCTGTTTAAAATTAATCATAGCATCAGACTAAAAAAGCTTTTGAAAATAACAGAATATTTTGATTAAGGTCAAAATGTAATATTTGTAAATCTGACTCTGAAAGATTCAGTGCCTCACCAGCCATGAACCTCACCGCACGTCACTGGTAGAATAACAAAATGAATGCCGTGAATAAACCGAAATACACGTGTTGAAGCGGTTATTACTTACTACCCTACCCCGCGCCGAATATTCGCTGCTGATTACTACCGAATATCCGGAGCCCGAAAAATGGTATTCGGGACAGCCCTACATTATTGCATGAGCATCATTGGAAGAACCCCAAACACAAATAAGTAATTGCAAGCTACTGTTTCACTAGAACTGTTGTATATTAAGACATAGATCTTGAATTTAGAAATGTAACCGACCAACGTTATTGTGATTTGTAAATCTGCCAAATATATTGACAATTAATCATCTTGAATATAACATCAGAACATTTATTAAAATATTAATCACAATTTCCTTGAGCTAAATGTGAGGCCATCAATAGTGTCAAACATTTAAATGATAATACAAAAAATCTGTATATTTTCCCACTTCAGAAACTACAATATTATACATTTTTAGTCACCGATACAGCTCTACATTTACCTTTTTCTTTCTCGGTGCTTCTGCTCTCCCCAGCAGTACAGCCTGTTGTTTGAGGACCCCATTGGCATTGAAGACGATGAGCTCCCTTATTCCACCTTCTTCTGATGGAGTCCATGTTACGTTCAAATTGAATGAGTCCTCGGGCTGCAAACACAAAGCACAGGGGAACATGATCATTCAATGGAAACAACATTTAGGGTATATCGATCGGTTTATCCTACTGGGAAAACTTTAACGATGGATAGCAGAGATACAATATGTTAACTTGGCACAACAAAGCTCCTGAGCATACAACTCTTGAGACATGGGAGTTGTGTCCATTCGTGCAGAGAAAAGCTAACGTTAACTGAGAACATAACTTACCTGAATCGTGAAAGTCCTGTATTCCACAGAAAATCCTTTACTTGCAGGGATCTTTTCAATAGTAACCTCCGCTTCTGAATCCGCTGCTGGGTTCTCAATACGCAGAACAGCCGATTTTGAGGTGCCCAACTTTACATTTCCAAATGTCACAAAAGGAGCCTTTGAAAACAGGGTTAAAACCAAAACTGGAACATCGTTCTCCTTGTTAGCGTCGGCTCGCTTTACCGGACTGAAGTCCAGAAATCCTTTCCGTGCTGAATTATCCGTTTCAGCCATCTCAGATGACATACAGTAGCAGTAGCTAATGGCTAGCTACATGTCACGCAGTTAGTTTTAAAAAACGTCTAGTATGTGAGCTGACGAGCTGACACTAATGTTGATGACAAGCAGCAAACGTTAAATCACCCTTCCTTCCAAAACACGCTGAATGACGGTTTGAAATTCGGCGTGGTGTAAATCCGCCAATGATAAGCGAGGGATGGCTACCTATTGTCCAATGGGTAAAGAGAATGTATCCATATGAATACAAAGCTATTGGCCAATCAGATATCAGCTACATTTGTAACTGCCCAGGCCACGCCCACATTTTCAAATACAATAAACGAAGATATCTCCCTCTAATGTTATTTAGTTCGAATTAACTAAAGCCAAAGGCTAATCTATACTCTCACTTATGCTATTAATTTCCCGTTGCACTGAAAGTAATGCTTAGAATCAAAACTAAGATTTAAGATGTTAACAAGTCCGTTAAGTATAATGATTGAATGGTTTACATTGCCTCGGAACCAGATGACGGTCCTTCATTTTAAGGAAGGGATCTGCAAACTAATACGATCTTCAAATGTGCACTTTTTTCCACGATTTCTTATTTAGGTTATGTCTCATTCAAAATATAACTAAACGTGTTTGATGCAAATAAAAGAATAATACAAAATTAATATTCGAAGTGGCTCAGTGAATGCTGTGTATTTTTACTGAGGAATTCTGAAAGAACGAAATGTTCACTTTTATATGAGAGTAGTCACCAGAAGTGCCACCTGCTCCCAGCCAGTCGAACATCTCGCAGTGATCGTATTAGTTAGGTCACGGCCGTCTCTTGAGTAGATACCTATCTCCTTAATAGCAGAAATGAGCAATGACACCTTTACCGTTATTAATGTAGCTCCAAAAGTTGTTGATTTCCAATTCAAAGGGTCAAGATAACTGTAATATTTATAAACCTACTAGCCTATGGATAAGTTGTATAGAGGCTTACTCTTACATCCAAACTATACCTTTTGGGAAATGCGTAACAACCGTAACAACATAAATGTGCAAATCCTAAAAGTCATAAAATGAGAATTTGTAGCAGCTCTTTAAAAGACTCACTGGCCAGCAGCTAACAGTCTGTCTGCAAGAGAACATTTATTGTGCTTTTTAATCAATTATTAATCATTATTCATACCTGCATGTTTTATATTAAAGGTCCCATGGCCATTTCTACTGATCATAATTCCATTGTTGAGGTATACTAAAATACATGTATATTGTGCAATTTTCCAAACTCACATTGGTTTCTCATACAGCATCTCTTTATAGTATGTGTAATCACTCTCTGTCCTAAACGGCTTGTTGGAGCTTGAAACTTTTAAAATTAGCAAGAGATGATCTCCTTTAACATGCATTAATTGATTTAGCCACTTGGGGGCAGCACAAGAACCTGTAAACACAACAATTGTAACAACAGTTACACAGGAGCTGTATGTCCTTACTGCGGTTTTTTCTGGATAATTTAGGTAGGATATACTGAAAAAAATATATTCTTCTATGCAAATGTATTATCACAAGTATACGTAAGTCTATATTACTGTTGCTGTAGTATATAGTATTTTATAGACCAGTCTAACTTAACTTGAACATTATATATTGAGTATTATGTGTGGTTCATGTCCATTCTACTGTAGATACTGCTGTTTATTGTTTTTATTTGATTATTTTAATACTTTTTGTCCACCTTTTAATTTTAATGTCTGAACACATTATTGCTGCTGTAACAAAATATTTCCCAATTTGGGATGAATAAAGTATCTATCTTTCTATCAATCTATCTTATCCCAGAAGTTACCTCTCTAAATGATACAAATCTGCTCTATGAAATAAAAAAAAGTTGTATTGCGTTTTTATTTGTATACCATAAAGAAGCAAATTATGCAACCAGCTTTTTAAATAAATGTTTTAAATATTGTGTTTGTACATGACACCTGCTTTACATAAACTCATACACAACATGCAGTAATTATTTTTGAAGTAAACTCTCTGTACACAGTCACTCCACCAGCTAAAAGATACTGTTCAATTGTGAGCCAGTTTGCACCAAAGGGTGGAAAAAACATTAATTCCATTCTATTTAACAACATCGTAAATCTAATGTGTTTTATCAGGTCCCAATGGCATGGTTACACAAATTATGTTTTAATTCAATGCAAAAAAAAGCTACTTTGTGGATCCATTTCTAGTTACAAATGTAGTGTGCTGGCAGGAAAGTGAAGGCGTTGTGCTGTATATAAGGACGTGTCTTGGCTTTTTTAGGTTGAATGTTGGAGTCACGGTTTGTACAGGCCGTGGAGGGTCACGGGTATGATGATGTTGACCTCGGCCCGTGCCAGCTCTGTGAGTTTCACGGCATCCAGCACCAGCAGGAAGCCCGGTCTCTCTGCACCCGGCTTCACCACGATGCTCAGCAGCACACCTGGAACACATGGTAAAACATTTGAGTTTCCAATATCAGACATGATCAGGATTAGGTATTAAATAAATCTAGGGATGAGGTTTGAATACAGTATAAGTTACATTTTCGATCAGGCAGATTTTTGAGATATGAAAGGGTTCACTGGTAGAGATATCAAAATAATTGATCTTAAGAGAACAACTTTTGTTTCCTTCAGATTACTTGTCAGTATAATTATGTGTGTGTTGTACCATCGTCTTCCTCTGTAGCTCCAGGTGTTGGTACAAACAGCGGCTCGGATGGGTAACAGTCCTCCTCCTGCCACACCAAGGTCTCTTTGGTCTGTACATTCAGCTTGACTATCTACAGCAAGACAACAATAAACACCCGAAATCTTGATCACCAAAAGAAATCATTATCATCATCAAAATTAATTCTGTGAATTATGAAAGCACTCCTTACCCTGTCAGGGATAAAGTGGTTGAGTCCCAGACCGTACGCAAAGGAATATTTCTTCCCACTACACAGAGAGTAGTTTATCTGGGGAAACTCAAAGGCTGAGAAAATGACAAAAAGAAGAAAGGTGGTTAGCATCTGAAAAAAGTTAGTTGGATCTCAATTTTGTTTTGTCATGATTTTAAGAGCAAGAATGATCCCTGAAGATACATTTAAAACCCTTTTACTGGTGTGAAATGCTTAGTTTTTCTGTATGTGTTACCCTGTCTTGGTCCAGAGAAGAGGACTTCAGGCTCGAGCCAAATGGTGCCATCGCTGTTAAGAACAGCAGTTGCTGTGGTGTAGGGAAGAGACACCAGATTCTTTCCCTGCTCCTCCTGAACACACATGAAAGCAAACACAAATGGCTGTACACACATACACACAAACAGTCTACTCTGAGGGGGTATTTTATACAGTATAGTGTGAGAACTGTGTGCTTTATGTGAAAAGTCTAACTGGGTAAAACACTTATCCAGAAAAAGTTGCTAACAAAGCTAGCTCAGCAGTTAGTTTCAGTTGAACATGCTGTTGCTAGCAACAGCTGACTGACAACGTTACATCCACTATTTTTGTCAGATCTTTGTCCGGGTAGGCCTATATTACCAGGCATCTTGTTATCTACTCCTTAAATGCCAATTTGGAGCCATGTTTGTAAGGGCTGTAAGTGTTGTTTTTGTTACAGCTGTTTTGTGGTTTTTGATTTAGGAGATTTACTTTTTTCTATGTTTAGCTGACTGCTAACCTAGCTAGCTGTGCTAACCTCAGGCTTTCAACTTTTGTAATGTCTTCTGTTCACCTTATCATTATTCTCTTTGGTTGAAATGTGTGTATAATGTAAATCTTTCTCTTTATCGGTACTATTATCAGTTAAATTGGTACGAAGCAACACGATTAACATTAGTTTGTAAATATTTACAGTATTAACTGACCACTATGCATAATCTAACATTTTTTAACTATACTTCAGATTAAATATTTGCCTCTCATATGGAGCTATTTTAATACAATTTTATTTTTATTCTATGTTTAGGACATTAACACATTCAAAATGTTTGCATTTACTGTAGGTAGGCTAATTATAATTATATTTTCGTGAGTTCAAAATAATGTATTAGCTTTGATAAAAGATTTTAAACACCAATCAAGCATTGTCCAAAAAACTGATCAGTCCATTTAATAGTTTGTACATTTTATGAAATGTATGACCAGTTAAGACTACTTTTAAAAGAACACCTCCACACAAATTCAAGTTCATTAACATTACCATTACTCACCTTGTGTATATCCAGTGGCAGTACATATCGCCGGACCTCAGGCTGAGGAGCTCTCATCGCAGCTTTCTTCACTTCCTCCCACTCCTGCTTTATGTTGGCCAGGTACAGGTAGTCGTACACAAAGTCATGACTGCAAAAAAACACAGAGATATTTCATTATGACACAATTAATTATACATTTAGTATAAACTTATACAGACACACTTATGCTCACACTCACCCTTTCCACGTGCAGAGGTCAACCACGATGAAGCCCTCATCCTCGTAGGCGTTGATATGGTGAAAGATGTTGAAAGCTGATGTTCTGAACTTGTGGCTGCTCAAATATTCAGCTGGGTCCTTAGTGGCCAAGTGAAACCATGTCTACAGCACACAAACACAAATACATGAAGAGACACATATGTCAACATACTGTATGAACAAAGATGCACATGCACAGGCACAGTCCCATGTAACTATACACACTTCCCTTCCTACCTCCAAAAGTCAAAATATACAACATCCCTTGAATAAGACAATGGGTTCCTGAACACAGACATGTAACAGTTGCTCCAGCACTCCTACTGCGTAGAGAGACACCAAGACTGAAAGAGAAACAAATCAGCTGCACAGCTGCATGTCCTTGTGGTGTTTTTGTATAATTTTGTGCCTTTTCGTGGTGGTTTAGCAACTTTTTGTGGTAGTTATGTGTATCTTTATGGTCATTTTGCTACAATTCGTGTTCATTTTGGATTTTTGTGGTAGTTTGATTTCCCTTTGTGCTAGTTTGTGTCTGTTTTTGGTCATTTTGCATTGCGTATAGTTTGTTTTTTGCCTTTTCTGTCATTTTGCTCTTCTTTTCAGTCCTTAATTATCAGTCTGATAATTTTGGGTCACTTTGTAGTTGTTCTGCATCTCCCAGTAGCTGTTTTTTGTTCTCATCTCTCTATTTTTTGCTCCTCTTTGTGGTTGTGTTTGACCACCAACAAATGTTAACACTTCATGCTGACGGTCTCATCCAAAGGCCCCTGAGTCTGTAATCCATTCATGGTTCACAAGCTTCTTACCACCACCCTCTTGCGCCGCCCCTTGCTTACCCCCATGCTTTCGTTGGATTCAAAGCAGTCCATGTATGTGGCCCCTCTGACGCTCCAAGCCGACAGGAACTTGAGCAGGTTGATTTTTACCGGCTGCTCCACAAACACAAAGTGGTTGTCCGTCATACCAAAGCTACAGAAAGACAGAGAGATAGACAAAACAAATCCATAAGCAGCAGTTTTCAACTTCCACAGGGTTCATAGAAACAAAACTGAGTTAATGTGTTTGGTTAGTGCAAAACAAGTACAGATGCAAAGCTCAGATTATGATGAATATGATGTATTGTGTATTGATCTTGATGAATTAAGTCGGTACCTGTGTACGTAGGAGGGTTTTAACCTCTCACTGCTGGGGAGTTGAACAACAACCTGGGATTTCTCCAGGGGATCTGACCCATCTGAAAACACACAGTTGCAGTGGGTGATGTTATCATTCTGTAGTGAGTGGGTGCATATGATGAACTACAATTTTACTCCAGCTCATAAAGAAGAAAGTCCATTTAAAATCATTCACAATCAATCGGATGACAGTTTCAATGTGGTACAAAAGTTACCTTTCTGAGCAGGTGGGATCTTGACGATGTTATAAGCCAGACTCAAGTTCTTTCCAAAGCAGTTGCCGATGTTATAGACTGTACCATCTGCTTCAATGTGGGGATGGGCCGTCAACCCATTCACTGAGAGGTACTTACATAAGTCAACCTAATACAAATATGTACACAAGACAGGACATAATTGAAGAGTCATTTTTATAAAGCATGACGTCATCATTTATAAGTCTATCAACAATTATATAAACACATAATTACTCAAATAAAAAAATTCTGTAGCACCAAAACATTTAAATTGAAAAGATTTACTGAAGTCAGACTTTGTACTAGTTTTGTTGTTTCTTTAGTGTTATCTGTTTCTGATTCAGCAAGATGTAAACCAATCAGCTCTCACCCTCTTCAAAGTCTCCAGCGAATCAGGATCAACCTTAGTGATAAAATTGGTCTCCGTGACGGCGTAGAAGTCTTCACCGACTGGATAGATGTTCACCATGCAGTTATCAGTCACCTCAATGCCTCTGAAATAAGTGAAGAATCTAAACAGAAACAAGGCAATATTTTGTTAAAATATTAAAACAGTATTTTGAGCCATTAGATGTTTTATCATAATACAGTATATAGATTTTTTGTTGGGCCATATAAGATCAGGAATTAGTACAAATAAATTAGCATTACTACTACTATGACACCAGTTTGCCATTTTTAAACTGCTTTGTTGTCCAACCAACAGATAAAAAATTTGAGAACATGTAAGGTACTATGGGTTAAACATGGAAGAAATGTGAAATGTTCATAAACAATTTTACTAACAAGAATGTACCATCAAATGTTAAGACAACTAGCTGTTGACAAATATTAAAGTAGTTTAACATCATCATCTGATGAGCTGAAATACTGTGCAACTTTATCTAAACTGAAACTATTATTTATCTACTATTTTATACCTTGAACGTTTTCTTTTTATTTGTTTCTCTTTATTATAATAATAATAATTATTATTATTGTTTGTTTTGTTTCTAACATGTTCAATAATATGACTAATAAAAAAATAAAAAAATCTAACTCTCAATCAATGCAGCAAGTGAGCATATCACCCAAAAGGTCACCTGTGTTCCTTTAACACACTTGGCTTCATACATTAGGCAGAGCACCTACAGTATGTGGTTTCGGGGTTACCTGGAGAAGATGTTTTTGCAGGGGTCTGGGTAGGCTGCTGTGCCAAACTCAGTGATGACTATTCTGTTCTCTGTCATGGCACGAACATACGCATCTGTTTTGATAAACCTGAGAAGAGAAACACATGTCATGCACATATCATACCTCACGAGACATTTCTGGTCTATTAATCAAACTGTCAATGTAGTTTTGAAATTTCACAAAGCACATTACTGATTCTGCTAGGTAGACAAAACTATTGGAGTTGGATGAAGGCTTGTGGTCTGCAGCTGAGTATTGTTGTTGTCTCCTCCCTTGCAACATTCCTGTTTGGATGAATTTACTGTCAGCTTTTTTATTTGGCTGCACAAAACTGCATGAACAGAAATCAGATCCCATAAAAGATCTGCGTCTGGATTTAGATCTATAAAATAAAGGTCCAGAGTGCTGGGAAGTACAAACAAGTAAATTGAAAGGGTTTTTCTCTCAGGAACAAAACAATTTAAAAGAAAGGTCTGGCAAAAAGTTAGAAAGCCTTTAATCAGATGGCTATAACCCAAATGTAGCGACTGACAGCTTTCTTCAGGTTGGGATTTCAGATTTATATATTTTTTTTTATGTAGAGAAAGAATGTATTGGTGAACAAACAAGTATGTTAAAAGATGTGCTTTTTTCCCTGATTTGGAAAGGTAATGAGAAGTGTTCTTACTTCCTGTAGTAGGTCACCTGACCGTCCTTCAGGTCAAACTTGTGAATCATAGCCTGTCCATCAAACAGATGGTGGAAAGGCTCATCTCCCACCTCAAAAAGACCTGGACCCATCCGGAGAAGACTGCCGCCCAGCCATGACGGTATGACACCTGTGAACAGACACACAGACACGCACACAGACACAATTGACACGTGAATCCAGTACATAAATACCCTTAAAAATAAATTAACACAATTGTGTTTTCGCACAGATTGAACAAGCAAGATATAACGGGTAAAGCTATAGTTGTGAACTTTTTTTAAATTGCTTTTTGTCATATTTCTTACAATATGATTTGGACAACACAGAATAGGACAGACCATTTAATCAAAATGTGCCAAAAGATCGAACTAAGATAAGATGGACCTTTATTAATCCCCCTGGGGAAATTCAGTAGTTTAACAGCAACAGGGTAAGATTGAAAAACAGGACAGCACAGATTCACACAGATTAATAAAATTAAGGAGAAAATCTAAGATAAAAATTAAAAATGATAAATAACTATAACTATTCTTTAAATATAAATCAATCAGCCTTTTTGGAAGCTATTCTGGAACATGTCTTGGAGTCTTTCTTTCTAGACTTTCTCTTAAGGCAGAAATGCCAAAGAAAAGTAGATAACCCACTCTCTTCCTTACCCTTAATCTCTGCAGGAATAGGTTCGTTCAGCTCCTCCACCGTCTCAAAGATCTTCTTGTAGCCTGCAGCAGGATGCTCCACTCTGGAGAGGAAAACAAAGATATTGATTTGAAAAAAAATTACTAGTAAAAGTAAATTAGTGAAAAAACAAAATGTATAGCATATAAATCTAGTCGTATTACACATTTATTTGCAGACATTTTATATCATTAACTCTGGTGGTGTTATAAGCTTCTAATGAAATGCATATTGTGGTGAGATTGTCCTGCCAACTGTTGATACCTTGTTTCTGTGCTGCCCAATTTACAAGTTCCTTTGTTTGGTTTTTACCACTCATTTATCCATCATTCACCTTGATACCTGTGTCTGTTTTCATTCATGTTTTTTTCTCTTTTCTTTTGTTTTACTATTTTAATTAGCTATGTGTGAAATGCTAAACATCTCTGTTAAGGGATTTACACCACAGGGGTGATAAAAAGGCAAAGCAAACATTGTTTTGGAGACAGTGGTTTTTGCTCTTGACGGGGGCAGGCTCTGGTGGAAGGAGAGGAGGCATACTCTGTGTTTACATCACAGTTGCTTGATGCTATAATCTAAAAAAAGATGGATAATGTTTCACTCATGTCGATATTTTATGTCTAAAATACTGGCCATATTATCTGTTTAGAAAATTCCCTGGTATTTTTGTTGGTGCTCTTATATTTCTCCTGATGTAAATTCAGAACAATGTAAAAGGCAATTGTAAAATAAATGTTTTTTTTCCCCCGTTCTTGTCTTGTTTAACGTAAACGGAATACAACTGCATATCTCAACAATGTTCCTTGAATCCATACATGTAATATTAAAGGACTTTAGCTGCAAGGAAACTCTTACACTGTTTGGACATCAGACATCTACCCCCGAAAAACACTACAGTTTGGACTGCAACAAATGAAAGTGTCTCACTGCTGCAGCAACAACTTTTTCAATGGAAAAAAAATCCAGTGGAACATTTGACATAGTAGACTCACCATCAAATCTTTTTCAAGGAAAACAACAAGAGTCACTGACAATCTGGTTTGACTTATTACATTTCCAAGAACCAATATATTTAGACCATGAAAGGTATTTCTAAAAGTTTTGTCTTTCAGTTTCAATCTTCACACATTAGACAAAAACACAGAAAGTTCCACTCACCGGCTGGCCATGCTGCTGAATGTTCCTCACCAGTTACTCACAAGTATCCTGCAAAACCAGACTCTGACTTGTATTTAAACCACTCACACATTTCCTGTGGTGAGAGATGGAAACGAGGTCCCCTCCTCCCTTTTTCTATCCTACCTTGCCTCCCCCAATCCCTCCTCTTTTCCTCTGCATCTTCCTCTCCTTCATGTTTCCTTTCATGCCTTTTGCTCCCCCTTTTTCTTACCCTCCTCCTCCTCTGGTCTTACCCGGAGCAAAACAAGCCAGCTTTGTCTCAGCTCCTTTCAGGCGCATGGCCATCGGCTCCATGCAGAATGTTCTTTTGGCCTTGAAACAAAGTATTTCTCAACCTGGGGGCACAAACACTGACAAACAGGCCGATGATGAGGGTCCAACCAATAAAGTCAGCTTTTAAAGGCAGAGTGTGCTGGTATTGTTTGTGAAAGTAGAAGGAATCCAGTCTAATAAGTTCCAGACCGCCTGGACAAACCCCTCAAACTATTTTAATTGGCTCGCTCTGAGGGGGGAGAAAGAGCAACAGTTTTCTCTGGCAGGGAGAGAGTGAATGATTAACCCTGTCTGTTTCTTTGGTTCTCTGTCATGTTGATAAATGAAAGTTGAATGGAAGACTGAAGGGGTGACTTATATGGTTGCATTAATAGGAAGTTAAAAGGAGCAGTAATCGATCATCTAGTGTGTGTGATAATTTTACAAGTAAAAAAAATACAAATGTGTTGTAAAACTGTGAAGTAACACTTTTTTTGTGTGAAACCGCTCAATGAACTACATCTCCCGTCTCGCACCACACACCAAGACGGCCGTCACCCGTCACGTTGGCACATTTCACCTCTTTCTTTCAGAATGAGGCGAAAAGTATTAAAAGAGGTGAAAATCACTACAAGTCTGGGCATGTTGAGAGCTGCACATACACACAAGGGGAGTTAGTCGGTTCCGTAAGAGCCAGCATGCGGGACCGGGATTCTGGGATTTATAGTCTTTCTAGTTGTGTATTTTTCATAGTCTTGTATTTCAACAGTTTTACGACAAACTGACTTTTTTGACATGGAAATTATTATTTAAGATTGACAAACATCATATGTGTAATTCGTGGCACAATTCAAACGGGATCGAAAGATAATCTTTCTCTCTCCATTGACTTCAATGCATAATTTTTCCGAAATAAGGTCCCATGAGTCCCACCGGAAGGGGAGGGACTTCACCTCTATTGGCAATGCAAAACTTTATTTCGTACCTTCATACACACATAACACAACATTAGAATGAGCTTTTATCAACGCCTACATGATGATAACCTGTCAACATGACAGGAAAATCCACATGACATTAATACCTTGATCTAACATGCCAGAGGCTGTTCACCTTGCTGCTGCGGATATGGGTACGGCCTGGCGCGAGATTTACACCTTCTGCATTCAAAGAATACACTTTACCAAAGCTTGAGGAAAATATCACACAACCCCTTTATGAGCCAAACCACCATGAGAGAAAAAGATGGTGTTATATCTTATCCCACTGAAAAGGCACTGCACCGATACCGTTAAAATATTGGCATAGTTCATCCCTGTGATGCTTGGCTCGAGCTGGATTATTGGTGGTGGGTGGCAGGGTGGCTTGCCGTAGGTCAGGGTCTTGTCTCCAGCTTCCTGGGACAGTGCCATGTTCGGGTCCTTCCTGGTCAACAACTCCCGCCATGTATGCGCTACAGTTCTCTGTGCACAGGAAGTTGTGCAGAGCACAGCAAGCCAAAACAATGGCCTCCACTTTGGCAGTGTCTTGAATGTTTATGGTGGTTAGGAAGACCCGAAAACGGTTGGCTAGGATGCCAAAGGCATTTTCTACCACCCTCCGAGCCCGCGACAGCCTGTAGTTGAAGATGCGTTGCTCTACAGCTAGCCTGCGGTTCGGATAGGGCTTCATGAGGTACTCTTTCAGGGGAAATGCCTCATCTGCCACAATGTGGTAACAAACCGCCTGGTCAGAAGCAGGAAGTGGTGCAGGTGCAGGGATGTTGAATGTCCTATTCTCCAAGGCATCCTGCAGTGAGCATCCACGAAACACACCACCATCTGAAATCCTCCCATTACAACCTACATCTACATACAAGAACTTGTAGTTGCTGTCGACCAGTGCCATTAGCACTATGGAAAATGTATGTTTGTAGTTGAAGTAGGTTGATCCAGTTCCTGGAGGGGGGCGAATGTTGATGTGTTTCCCATCCAGGGCACCTAGGCAGTTTGGGAAGTCCCACTGAGCCTGGAATCCATCAGCTACTTGCTGCCACTCTTCCACTGTGTCTGGGCACTGAAAAACAAAACATATATTTTTTAAGACCCATGTTTCATATGGCTAACCAAACATTTGCTGTTCAAATGCCTACAGACCTCACTGTATTACATACAGTTTGCACAGTAAAACCAGTAAGTATCCACACATACCTTCAGGTATTTCTCTTTTAAAACCTCGTAAATGGCTGTACAGGTCTCAGGAACGAATTGCCGGATGGTTGACACTCCCACTCGGAACTGGTAAGAAAGGCTCCTGAAGCTTTCCCCTGCAAATATTAACAAACACATAACTGAGTTATCTACACAAGCAGCTGAACAAAACACTCATTAGCTACAATACTACAGGTTATAGTTTACAAGATAGTTGATTACTTTAGCTACTATGAAGATTCAGACAAATTATACAAAATATAATAATGAAATATTTTAACATGCATTATTATAGGAAGAAGATAACGCTTTATTGATCCCTTGGTAAATTCTCAAGCAACCAAGCAGTACTTTGGTACTTTGGTTTTGTACTTACACTAGTACATCTACATTACACTGCGGTATTACTACTAAAGCACAATATACAATAATATACAAAGTGCTTCAATTTTAAATATAGCAACATCTTTAGCTTGCATACCTGTTGCCAAAAATCGCAGCGTAACCATCAGACGTGTCCCCACGGAGATACAATCCCGGTAGTTGGTGTTTTCCCTCTGGATGATTGGAGTGATGAGTTCCTCCAACATGTGGAACTGAACAGGAAAAAGCCGAGCAACATTTCTGAAATCTGGCATTTCATTTAACTCCAGCTCTCGACACAGGTTCGGGAAAGACCCATGAGCTTCTCGCTGTAGTATCCATGATTTCACCCATTTAGTGCGGTTTCTCCTAATTCTTCGCTTCTGCCTCTTGAGAGACTCCAATTAGTGATGGCAGTTTGACACTGAAGCTTCGAACAGAGCTTCAACCCTGGACTTCCTATTCCATAGAAGCAGTGATTCGAAGCTTGCTACAAATCACGTGACATGTGACGTCAGAAGCAGCAACTGCTTCAAATCACGTGACATGTGACGTCCGAACCAGTAACTGGCCGTTTCTCAATCGCGAGGATATTGGCTTCCAAGCCAATATTTCAAGGATGCTACGTCATCAAGTGGCGCAGCAGGACCGTTCCAATGTCCAGCATACTTGGAATTCCACAGAGGCCGCGTCCTTGGTTTGGGGGAAATTTCGAGGCTGCACATGGGTAGACTTTGCGTCCTTAAAATCCCCACAATGCTTTGCGCACGGACCAATTTCCCCAAATCTGTGGCGGAAAATGTAAGGCGGGGCCTCTCATATGACGCACACCTGCACACTTGCTAGCCTGTTCCACTCTTCGTTTTCCGAATGCCAGGAAGGATTCTTGCCTAGTTTCTGAAGGAAGTGACTCGGAAGACATGTGCTACCAAGCAAGCGTACTCGCGATTGAGAAACACCCACAGTTTCATTTCCTGAATGAATCAACTCACTGGTTCGCCGTCCAATCAGGTGATTCAATGCACTGCCTCGTCTCTATTCTGACAGGATGAAACCGTCTCTTCAACACTTTATAACCGCTCTAAACAATGCGCAATGTGTGGGTTGTTGTCGTAGTTTGCGTTGTTGCTGTTGAGTTGTTGTTGGTATTGCATTTTAATTGGATCATTATAGCAAGCCAGGAAGAAAGATAGGTCGTTCTGGCTCGGGAAACACTTCGAAATGTTGAATTATGAGTAATATAAAAACAGTTCAATAGTTTAAGGAATAGATAGCCCAGTGGATAGAGCTGACGGCCCGAATGCGGTGATGACCTACGCGTAGCTGGTTCAAAGTCCGGAATGGATGAACTTTTAATCATTGCTTTTCAACTTTAATACTTTAATAACTGATAAAAGGCCCTCTCCGCCCAAAACAATGTCCAGCACTCTTTAGTCTCTTCTCAATAACCCAATACACACAATTATCAATCTTTAATTGCAAATAGAACATGATATTCAGTCTTAGTGTGTGTGTGCATCGAATATTTTTCAAGGCAAAGATACGTTAAACCCACTGCAGCCTTGCACTTCGCCAGGAGAGGTCGCTGTAACTGAAGCTTCGAGAAATGAACCTATTTCCGACACAATTGTCCAAGTGGTTCGATGCTTCATTCAAAGCTTCATTTTGCCATCACTAACTCCAATGGCTGATAGCCCCCAGTACCGCACGAAACATGTTTTCGATGGACGAGAGTGAAAATGGAACGCACACGCTATTTGTTTGTTTATATCACAGTCTGTTCTTCTTCTCTGTCTTCCGGTTGTTGCCTATTTTGAATGACGAATACACACTACCGCCGCCTGCTGGTAAGGAGAGTTATTGCCACTCACGCATGCGCAGTTCGTACGTGCTCGGCTGAAGTCTTTGCGGTGTGTTCCAGTGCGACACATGGCCAAGACGCAGGAGAACTCGCCGACGCAACAGTCGGCGTCGGCGAGTTCTCTGGTGACTGCCTGGTGTGTCAGGGCCTTTAAGGCCGCTACACACCCACCTGAGACCAAAGAACGCGTACCGAAGGCGCCCCGACTTTTACGTCAGCTTCGTCGCCTGCGTTGGCTACGTCGCCCGCCTACGAACACACCGCAAATACTTCAGTCGACGAGTGGCAATAACTGTCCTTACCAGCAGGCAGCGGTAGTGTGAACAGCCAATCAGAGTGATTGCTTGGGCCGACTTTCTCTGACCTCCCGCGGCCGATTCAACAGGCGTCGGGAGGTGTGAAAAGGTGCCGTAAAGAGACGACGGTGCGGGACACACAAACCTGAGTAGGGCGCCGCGAATGCCCGACTGCCTCCGACGGCCTCTGACTCCCAAAATCGGGCTGGTGTGTCCGGGCCTTTAGGCCTAGTGCTCCACCGATCATGCTGTGACTTTGTTTATGATAATTAGATTACACTGAATCTACTTAAACCTGCCTGGTTGCGGTTTTAACTGCCAATGACTCTCAAACCTAAACAATTAAGCTGGTAAACAACACGTAGAAATAACAAAAGCCAGTCACATGTGTAGTGCCTGGTCAAATATACTTGATGTTTCAGGATTTATGTTACATCGTACGAGGGCTGCAAGATTTGGAAGAAATAATTGCAGTTATGACTGAAATTTGGAAATGATTTCTTTATAAAATAAAGAGAATGAACCATTGATCACTTTCAATGGAAAATAATGAAAAATGATAAGAGTGTGCTTTTTCAGAGGATCTGAACGAAGGAGATTTTTTAAATCTAATCTTTACTGTTTGTAGGGCCAGACTTCTCTTCAGCACCAGTAACCTTTATTTAGAATTGATATTTTCACATATTTTTTTACATTATTATTTAAACAAAAATAGAGCTTACTGCGATTAGGATTTTGCACATCACTACATTTCTATAAAATGTTGGTTAATTTTGCAGCCCTACATCGAACACATGCTTTCACACACAGTGGCAAATAGAAACAGGACTATGGCATATAAATAGAACAGCTGACATTTATTTCCCAGGAGTTTGCATAGTAAACAATAGAAAGTAAACAAGGGGTAAAACTGTGTAAGTGTACAATATAAAACACTGCTGATGAATGCATATACGGTTACACACACACACTTCGATCTGAGGTAAAAAAACAAACATATCATGGTAGAACTAATACTTCATATAACATAAATTAAAAAGGAACAGCTTGAAATGTAGGGTTACAAATCCTCAGATAACTGACATAAGGGTTCTAATAAGCACTTCTGTTTACCACAAGTTCTCATTCATCAATGAATAGATGACCAGTTTCTCTCCTTAGAGAGTAGCAGCCAATAGCCACTTCCCTTTTGACATCAAATGCTGTAGGAGTTCAGAAAACAATTCACAAGGTTGTTGACAGAAGCCGTAGCAACAGTTTACACAAACTATTACAGGTATTTGGTGGAACCTTCGTAAGGGAGTCTAATATGCATTAAATATGTATACATTAGCTATTCTGATGATTTGCCATTTACAATGCCTTAATCCAGTGCAAAACATGTCTTTATCCAATAAACTATGCAGGGATGGGATCAAGGTGAAACACACACATGTCAGTAATACAAATCTAAACTGTGAAAAAAGTTTAAACTAACTAGAGTTGTAAATTAAAAACCTGAGATCCCTTTATCCAAGGTCTCTAAGAAAAAACCTTAAATGGTACCGTTAAATTGCTTTAAAAGCAGAACGAAGAGAAAGAGCCAAAAAGGACAAGAAAGAGAAAAACATCAAAAGAATAAAAACACATTTCAAATAAAACTTGAGATTCTATGATATAACATTTTTAGTGATCTCTATAAAAACAGTTAACAAGACATTTCACTGCTCCCAATGTCATAATTTATATAAATTAAGAAATCTATAATCTAATTATTCCCATATGGACCAGGGACCTTAGAATTGCATATTTATATCTCCCAAAATGCAATCTGCAGTTTGTCCGCACACACAAACACAAGCTAGCAATAGATAAGACAGGTGAGGGGATAGAAAACAGAACACCACAAAAAAGGGAACATTTTAACAAAAAAAACCCTCCTATATTTGAACTTCTCAAAGAAGCAACCCTCTGTCTATCTGCCTTCATTTTACTCAGCTGTCAATACAATCACTCACACAGACAAATAAACACATGAACTATTGTAGAAGTCTTCCAGCCTGCATTAACTCTAACATTACTACAAACCAAGTATGTCCAACGTAACACGAAAAAGGTTAATGGCTGCAAAGAGAAGAGGATTCTCCAGATCTCTTAGTATCAGTGCGGTTATATTGCAGTGAACAGGGCTGTGGCTTCTATAATGCTGCCAACCTGTACGGTTAGTTCCTGATGCTGAAAGCTTTGGTCTTCTTGATGGTGAGGAGTGGAGGTTTAATCTTCGGTTTGGTGTTGTTCTTACTTTTCTTGTCTGAGGAGGGGCACCGGCGACTGTAGATGTCTGGGTACTGCTTCTGAAACTGAAGGAAATATTTGAAGTAAAGCTCAGTTGCAGGTAGACTTGATAAGGAGTGTTTGTTATACAATGGGACCTCTTTTTGTTACCTGCTTCAGTTTCTTGCGTCTGTCCTTCTCGCTCATGTTTTGGTTGGTCAGCAGCATCTCTAGCAACTCCTCCATGGCCTTCTGGGAAGATTCCAGCTTTTGCTGTTCAAACTCAGCGCCGCTGATCTGCCGGCAGAAGGCGTACATGGGCATCGGAGCGCAAACCTCATCGGAGGCTTCGACATTAGAAACACCATCCATCGGGACCTGGGTCAGGAAAGTGGAAATTACAGTCACTTTATTAAACTATTTATTGATCCTGGCCCTTACCTAAACAAATTAGTGATCCGCTTTTTATGAAAACGCTTTTTGACAAAGTAATTCTGTCAATTTGATCTGAAAGAAAATGACATACACTGAATTGTTATTAACGAGCATGCAATCGTTAATACATTTTGCAGTAAATGAGGCTAAAAATCGAAATAAGAATCAAATAAAAATGGATTTGCTTTCTTTTTTCAGTTTTAAGTAGATTTGATTTCCATTGGGGTTTGGGAAGGGTGCAGGCCCTACATAAAATACTGCAGGACACACATAGTGTAACAGTTTCTGCGTGTACCTGTACGGCACGCAGGTACTGGATGTGGTCACTGATAGCACTACGCAGGTACTCTGGGACTGAGAGGATGCTTTCTTGATGGTCCATTAGAAATGACACCAGTCTGGTAGCCAACAGCTCGTCCAAATCACACTCCTCAGCGCTGCCCAGGACACAGCCGGAAAACGTGTGAACCATCTGGAATGACAAACATAACAACATGGTTGAAACAAGATAAAATGTAACTGATCCCTAGATAAGACAATAAGAAGGCATGTAACAGTACTATACATGTACTAGTCAATACAAATACCAGTGAATTTCAACAATCCTAAATGTCCAATAAAAACAAAAAGCACTAATTTAATATTGTTTGCAGTCAACATTTCCTCTCTAATATAAATGTTATAATGCTGTGATAACATCTTCTTGAAACTGTATTTATTTAAGTTTATACCCAAAAAATACGTTTTACAAAATACATTTGAACAGATCATGATAACACGAATGCACCATTATGTTACTCAGTGACTCGGGTGCTAACTTAGAGCTAACAGCTAACACTAAAGAGCTCTCCTCATGCCTAGTTCCACATGACTTGGTTAAAAATCATTGGTTCTTGGGACATCCCAAAAAAAAGTGTGTTATAGGCGGGAAACAAATGTAGGTCTTTATCGGTTGCAAGTCTCACCAGTGTGCGGGTGCCTATAGCGGGGTGGAGGCGGGGCATGTCAACGTTCTGGCTGATGCGTGACATCATCCTCATGAGGAGCTGCAACTTCCTGCGGGAGGATGGGGGGAGGAGGAGGGTGCAGAGCTGCAGGGCCTCGATGGCCACGCGCTCACACTGAGGCTGGAGAACGCCTGTACACATACACACACGGTCACACACTGATAATAATGGAGTCCGTAGTGCAAACAGTACAGAAAAAAACTGCAGTAGAATCACTCTTTGGCCACATTCATCCATCACTGCTTCATTCACTAAATCAGAGAAATGGATGGATGAATGGATGATGAGATTAATCAGCTACAGCTACGGTGTGAGAAGAGTCAACATTTTTAAAACACAACATATTTATTGTAATATGCTATTAAAAGCATGTGCACCCCTGTTAGCTTTGATTCAGAACTGTATTATGTGCATTATGTTCCTGCATAAATGTTTCCTGGAACTTGGTCATTTCAGTCAGTCCACTCTTATTATGGTCATAATTTGGATATTACAAACGTGTTAAGTGTGAGAAAGTCTTTGATTTTACACAGTTTGTATTATCTTTAATGAATGAAAAGAATAGCACGATTCTTCCATCGAGTTTGTATCTCAATGGTCTTCCTGTCACACGTTTTTCTATGTGGATCTGTCTAAAAATGTCGTAGTTTAAGGCAATATGAATGCAGGACTGTGATGCACAGCAACAAAATGCATTGCATACAATCAAAGCAGCATAGCTAACAAAGCATGCCATAAGCAAGCACAATTTAGTGTGCTGCATAATTTAACTATCTAATCTCAAACATAACAAGTTGCACATGAGCTCGGTGCACCTTGATCCAGGGCTCTCCTTCCTTACTTTGTTCTGTCAAGGTTTGCTGGAAGCTTGAAAACATTTTATAAAACACTTTCTGCATCTAGACCTCACCTTTTCAACACAAGTATTTCTACATTTACCGGCGGTTGTTAGATGTTAGATTGAGTTAGTGTGATTAGACATCTATAGGCATGCAGACACACAGAGGTGAGAGGTGAGAGGGTCTTACTGTGCTCAGCTTTGGGTTGGGTGGGCACACAAACAGGCGGTTTGAACAGTGAAACAGGGCGATGCAGCTTCGACACATCCAGAGAGCTGAGGCAGCGGCGGACAACATCGGGTGCGGAGAGCATCCGAAGATTAGAGGTGCTGGAGGCAGGTCTGGGCCCGCTGGGTCCTGAAGGAGCACGGGACCCTTGTACTTTGGCCGAAGCAAGTGAAGAAAAGGTATAGAAAGGAGTATAGGAGGGAAAGGCGGATGGATAGGAGGACAACGAAGGAGGGCGTGAGGCTGAGGAGGAGTGATGCTGTTCGGCGGGAGTGTTCACGTTGAGGCAGCTGGTCGCGCGATCCTGCAACTTGGACTCCATGACGTCTTCCTCCTTGGTTTCTATGACGATGTCTAAACAGCTGCGGGGTCGCAGGAAGCGTGACCTCTGTGCAATTGACAGTCTATTTCTGATTTTGGCACCTGTGGTCAAAGGGGTTGATTTGGAAACAGAGGTAAAGTCTGTATGACTTGTGTTTGCTATACTGTCATCCTGGCTCATGTTGCTATGGGTGCAGGAGGCCAGGCTTTCATTGGACAGAAACAGCTGTTGCCTGGTGAGAGGGGCAGAGTCATCTAGGATAGTTTCGAGTGAGCAACTCCTGGTTCGAGGCCTCGAAAAAGAAACTGTACTCAGGCTGGTGCAGCTGCCTCCTAACTGACCCTCGCCTCCTTTCAGCGCCGCCAGCCGCGACTGAAGCTTCCCACCGAGCACCTCTGTCATCGGGGACTCCGTCTCGTCACACCCTCCCTGTCTGAGCAGTGACAGGAGGAGACACTCTGTGGAGCGGAAAGAAGTCTTGGCTGGAGGCGGGGCCGAGGGGAGGTCGAGCTTCTTGCGTTTCCCACGTTGGTTTATCGTGTTGGGCGCTGCGACGTACCCGCAAAACACTGAAAGCGGATGCAAAAAGAAGAGGGGGCCAAGCGGGGCAGGCAGTGTCAATGAAAGCAGACATAGTAGGGGAGGAACAGGGTTAAGTTAGTTTAAATCTTTACGTAACATACAGAACCAGACACGACACATAACAGACAGAGCTCATATCACTGTTAGGACTTCACAAACACAAGTGACAACAACCAAGATCCTCCTGTTAGCAGTCCACTGTTAGGGAAACAGCATGTCAATAAGACGGAGAAAAGATGCTGCATACTTCCTGTTTCATATTTCGAAAAAAAAAATTGTGAAATGAGTCCAGAGTACATACCCAAGACGTTGATAAATAGTTCATACAGCTCATATGTGAGTACTGGCTGCGGAAGGCTGTAGAAGTAATCTGACACCGTTTTAAAGACGTCTCTCTCGAAGCCGGGATAGGACGGCTGTTCGCTGTCGTACTTCGGCCCTGGAAATAAAAATCATGTTAATGCATCTACCATGAAATTGAAGGATATTTGAGAGGTCCCAAAACAAAGCCTTATGTACAAGGTTCATTTTGTAACTTTCTATTGGATTCTTAATAATTCAGAGAGTTCATTTTCCTCAAAGTTGGTCCAAGGCAATGATTTTGTTAAGTATAAGTAAAAGTTAAACAAATAATATGTTTAATGACGCAATAAGGCACAATTAAACATTGAAAATTAGCTAATTATTTTCTGTATTACAAGTTCTCATTCTCATTTTGTTTAGATATGCAAAAGAAACATAATGTCATGTGTGTGCATTTAAGAGAAAGCTATAGACGCGAATAAACAAAGAAGGATTAACATCTTAATGTGTATTTCGGATGTTATCTTTGCACTAGTCTGAAAGAATGTCCTGTCATGAATGCAAACTAGCCGGAACTCTTGAAATTGAACAGTGCAAAAACAGTGTTTCACTTGTATTGTCTCGCATTAGGTTGTTATTTTTTCCCCATGATCAGCTCTTAGCAATGTTCATGCAGCACAGAGGTGTAAAAGCAGCTTGTTGTTACTCACAGTTGGCCAGGCTCTTCATGGCAGACAGAACCCAGTGTGGGAGGTCATCTAGAGAGAGACGATAAACGGGTTAGACTGGTTGCTAGTTACAGTACATTGAACCGTTAGTGTGTTGTTTAACCTTAAAATAACATCTAAAATGTGTCACGTGTCAATGCTCAGATTTTTGATAAAAACAGTTTCAAAGTTAGAAGTGTATATTGTATCATCGTATTCATTCAAAAAGAGAATCCTTATAGCATATGAGGATTTCTTATACTTTTCATATTGTGATGTAACTGTTTTTTGTAGATGTATAAACGTACTAGTTTTGTCGTCCAGCGTGACCACTCCATGCTTGTTGACATTGGTCATATTATGGACGATGTTCTGTGGGTTCACATAACGCTGGTCTAAAACCTCATCAAGAGATGCAACGCCCAGAATCCTCTGCAGGCTGAAACACAACACACAAGGTTCAGCCACTCACAAAAAATCTCCTTCACTTTCTGATTTCAAGGCTTAGTTTAGATGTCAGGGTTCATGCACTTTTTCACCAATGACTTTTCCATGACCTTTACCTAATTTTCCATGACCAAAAAATTACTCTTTCTCAGCGGTACCACTGAAACATTTTAATTTTAACATGGTAAGCTGGAAAATAATGTCTGCATATGAAACATGTTGTGCCTATCTAAAACAAATCAAATAGTAGGCTTACTAGCTCCTACAGACTAAAGCCACTGTAGACTAGAAGGCGTGATTGTAAAAATCTCTCACCAGCAAAATACCTCGTCAGTTAAATGCCATTTTACGTTTCATTACTATACGATACAGTATTTATTATCGTTATAGTATTACTATTTCGGCGATTAGATCAAATATAAATTATATTTGATGCAACTTTGGTTACATTTCCATGACTTTTCCCAAACTGTGGGAAAAATATTGTTTTCCATAACTTTTCCAGGGCCTGGAATTAGCATTTTGAATTTCCATGACTTTTCCAGGTTTTTAATGACTGTAGGAACCCTGAGATGTATCAAAAAAATGTTGATTGTGAAATGTGATATCTTTGGGGTTTATACTGTGTCATGGTGATGTCTTTCCAGATCTCCTGTTCATCCTCAACTGTCAGCTCTCGCCTCGGCACCTGCTGCTCTCCTATTGGCTGATTCTCTCCTCCTGCTTGGAGGGCAGGATCGACATTTTCCTGGAAGGCACAAACAGAGAATCACAAAACTGATTATTTTTCAAATACGGACCGTACGTCAAACCTGGGTCTGGGTTTTGTGATAAAGTTGTACATAAAATAGAAACATTGCCCTGTCTAGCTTACCTGCGTCTCCTTCTCATGTTGCTTCTTGATACCCCTAAACTTGAAGAAACCCTCCCTGTCCCTGAATGAAGGCCTTTTCTTAACAGAACCAGGAGCCGAGCCTGAAGCTGGACAGGGAATTGGCTTCAGAGGGGAAGTGGTGGGGAATCTGGGGAGAAAAGAGAGGACATCGATTGCATTAGTTTGTGTGGGGGAGTGTAATCTACATCAATTGTGTATGTTTATAAAGAAAGATGCCTACCTGTACAGAGTGTTGTTGTCATCCAGATCCTCTGTGCCCCAACGACCCTTCACGTCTTCGATCACGTGGTTCTTCAGGAACTTCTTCAGGAGCTGCACTGTCTGCTGCCTGGTGACATCAGGGCCAAAATTGCTGTTGTTACATAGCAGCTGGTGCATCCACTCCACAGCGGCCGAGGCAGCGAAGCAGGAGGCGTAGTGCCGGAAGTTCTGGCGATGTTTCCTGAGGGGCATTCCAGACCGAAACAAGCGAGTCACCTCATTCCACTGAAACAGAGAGGGTGGAGTTTAGTAAATTAACTTATGTGAATTCCTTCTTTTATTTCAAGACCGTGTCCTGTGGGACGTTCTTGACTGCATTGACTTGAGGACGACTGGACAGAAGGGATGCACTGGTGTAGTTTGAATAAAGGTTTGCAAACATTTCTTTCAAAGAAACAGAAAAAATGTTGCATCGGTAAAGCATTGATCTGAGACAAAGTCGAGACAAAACATACAGACAACCAAGAAGTCCTAAAAAGATTTATGGCTCATGGTCCTAAAAGCCAAAAAAACTTGTAGTCTAAATAACCAGTCTATTGTGAGAACTGTCGTTTTCTGGGACACCCAGTGGGCCAAAGGTCAAAGGGTTGTAGAGTTAGGTGTAAGGTTTGGCTTTGTACTACACGTGTTGCTGACTTGTTGGAATTTGTACCATTTAAGACTATTTCCCACCTCTGGCACCTTGTCAATAGGGAGAGTTGAATATGTTTGAGTTGCAGTCAGAGTTGAAGACATCTCCTTGTTTTCAAACCTGGAATTTATGAGAGTCATTTTCCACTTTCTTCTGATATTTTAAAGACTTACATTAAAGCCTCGCTCAAAGGAAAACAAATATATTTGTAAAATCAGTCCACAATCAAAATGTTTTTAAATGGAGGGGTAGAATTAACACATATCTGATCCAAAACTGTCTAATAAACCCTCCAACAGTTCGCATAATTCTGATGTATTGCTCAGTATCTATTTAGCTTAAAGTTGGTAACAATTGACATTTAAGAATACAATAGTTATTGCATGCAAATCATCCAATTAAACCTTCTCAATATTGAATATGTTCTGGTCAATAATTGAACGGAAACTGTTATGTTATGTCAGCCTAAAACATTATTAACAGATACACAAGAATACTTGATGCATTCCTGATAATGTAGAGAAAAGACGTTGAGAAAAAGCTACGTATTGGACAAGTTAACAAGTGAGCAGGATTAACTTAAGTTATGCTAGGGTAAGGAACTCACAAAAGACGATAATAACTCTATGAAAACACAAAATGTAACCAACAAACTGTTATTTACGATAAAGAGTAAAGTCACATTAACCAGCTAACATTATAGCGTTGCGGTAGACGGAAATGTGTCTCATGAATTAGCAGTTAGCAACCTCTAACGTTAGGAGCACTTATCAACAAATGGTAACTTACGAGTTTGGTGGCCCGGTACGGTCCTGGGGTGATAACATGAGAATTCATGTTTATCTCAAAAACACAGAACGTTTTTCCTCTAAACGATATGACAAAAGGTCAAAATATCCATTACTCAGGGGAGGATTTAGCCGATGTTTTGCTGTAGGATTGTGTGAATGGCAGCATTGATAATACCGAGCTCTACCTGGCTGCTAGCCGTCTGTTCAAAATTACGAGCCGTGTGATTCTGCAACGCGATTGGACGACCAGCGCGTCACGTGATCAGGCTCGAAGAATAGAGTGGCGAAGTCCCTCCCACTTACTTCCGGGGTATGGGACCTTATTCCGGAAAAGTTATGCATTGAAGTCAATGGGGAGAGAAAACTTATCTTTCGATCCCGTTTGAATTGTGCCATGAATTACACATATGATGTTTGTCAATCTTAAAAAATCATTTCCATGTCAAAAAAGTCACTGTTTGTCGTAAAACTGTTGAAATATAAGACTATGAAAAATACGTAACTAGAAAGACTACAAATCCCAGAGTCGCGTAAGTGATGTCACAATTGTTTACCTCCACCATTCAGATACCTAAGATCAGCGCAATATAGATATAATCTATCTATATGGCGCTGGCTAAGATAAGATAACTTTAACAAGATGCCTGTGTGCTTAGTACCAGGTTGTTATTATACCAGCAATGGGTCTTGCTCGTTCTTTTGCTTCCCGTCTGATGAAACGACCAGGAGTGGCTTGATCAAGTTAGCTACCTAGCTAGTAGCTAGCACGTTAGTTAGCATTACAGCCTTGTCATTTTTATTAGCCTTAACATGAAGTAACATTAAGTAACCCAAAATGTTAAACAGTAAGAGTAGTAGTCATATTTCGTGAACCCTTTGAATAGTACTGTCACCGGTGTGATCATTCTATAATACACCATTTAATTCCGGGGGAGAAATGCTAACGCTAACGTTAGCATCGGCGATCTTTTCTACTTCATGCTATCTGCACAAATGGTTGACATTAAACATTAAAACGACCAGGCAGTTCAGAGAGAATCAAAGGAAGGCAGGCTTTGCATGACATTCTTCAGGACGTGTTTCATTGTGGTGATAGTGAATCGTTTGTTGACAAGACAGTAGTGACGGCCATCTTGGTGACGTGTGTGGTTGACCAGAGATGTAGTTCAGTGAGCCTTTCACACAAACAAATGTGTTACTTCACAGTTTTACGACACATTTTAATTTTTTTGACTTGCAAAATTATCTTTTAAATTGACAAACATCATATGTGTAATTCGTGGCACAATTCAAACGGGATCGAAAGATAATCTTTCTCTCTCCATTGACTTCAATGCATAACTTTTCCGAAATAAGGTCCCATGGGGCTCAACCGGAAGGGGAGGGACTTCGCCACTCTATAGAGGTTGGGTGGAGTACAGAAAACAGTGCGACCATGAAGGCAGCACGTTTAGCTGTTTCAAACAAAATTAGTTATGTCGTTTTACCGTTGAGACAACCTCTTTATGTTATTTTATAACCTTTAAGCAATGCAATTATGTAAAGCCATACATAGGTAGGTATACAATTTGTAAAAAGACAGCAAAGAAATATATTGCCTAGCATACATGAGTTGAGTTCCAATATGGAACTATTACTTTACTATTCTTCAGTTCATGTAATGTCTATTTTGAATTGTTGTACAAGTTTGTTGTACTTATTAGACAATGTGCATCGGTGAATATAGTATTTTCCAAATAAATATTTAACCATCACTATCAATCTACCATAAATATAATACATTATTATTTGAGTAAATGTACGTCTTAAAACATGCTATATTTCACCAAAATGTGTGAATACAATTGGCATTCATATTGACTTCCACATAGTTTGCTGTGATCCAAGAAGTCATTGAGCTGCCATCAGCAATAATCAACCCTTTTGTGTTCACTGGCTCTGGCTCTGGCTCTCACTCACTCACTCACACACACACACACACACACACAATTCACATTAGCATAATTTAAATGGGCTTTTGTGGGACTCATGCTGTTCAGTTAAAGGCATGATAGTATGGTGGGGGTCAAACAGAAAGACAGTGGAGGTAGAGACAACTGGGGAGGATGGGCTTGATTTAAGCCACTGCTTTAGATATGCTAATGTTTGGAAACAGTAGGCAATAGACCCAGATGTCTGTTTGGAAGATTACATCTGAACACTTTTGAAGGGATTAAATCACTCTCCTTTGATTAAAAATCTGCCCTTTTCACAAAAAAAGGTAAATTCCGTTATTACATTTTCTGTAACTACTTCATCTTCTGTATTCAGTCCTAATGATCCATGAATATGCACATAATAGTACATTTCAAAAGTTAAGTTGTTGGACACTTACACTCAGAAATGGAGGCTTTGAGTTTTCCAAAATACTTGCACAAGTTGCATGTTGGACCAGGATATCAACATGTCCCAAAATGATGCTCCTGCTGATGCGTCCTAACGTCAGATTTATGGTGCAGACAGTGCAGAGAAAAAGTCTCTTCAGCAAATAAATGTGAAAACATGCTTCTAATTTTAAACTCTGCAGATTCCTCGGTCTGCACAGGGTAGCTCAAACATCCAAAGCATTTACATTTTTAAGAGATGAGGACTTCTGGAAGCTGACAGCCACACCCTTTGAGAGTAGGATTCAAATGAGCAGTGGTGGAAGTTAACTACTCATCAATATACAAGGGAAAGCAGATGTGTGCCCCCCCCCCCCCCCCCCATTAAGAATACTTATCAAGTTGTTATTTAAACTGTATGTGAATTACTCACTTGCGCCCTCTACAAACTCTACAGGTAAAAGAACATCTGAAAAGCTTCTTTCTCTTTTTTAGGTAAATGTTTCCATTTACAGAAGGTTTAATTCAACTAATGCAATAAAACACATTTGTGATGCTTAAATATAAAAAAAGCCTTTAAAAAGGGGTTCCACATTTTGACCAAGAATGTAAAGATTTGTATTGAACTTTTCATCATGGCTGCCCCCAGCTGGTATTCAATGGTAGTGGAGCATCCTATTTTCTCCACTGAAAGGTCACCATAGGGTGCATTTCGTCTACCATACTTCACTGACTATTATATGATCTCGTCAAGAGTTTAAGATTTTTTTTTTTATTGCAAACGTTAATGTTATTTCAATTTCCTTTGAATTCATTTCACATTTGAATGCAAGCAGTGGTACTCACTTCAACATAACAATACCTTTGTTACAGCAAACTCAACCCAAATTTAACAGGAAATGTTTTAACTTATAAGTAAACTGGGACATTCGATTTTGGAATATCGCCCTTATTAAAACAATGAAGAAAAAACACTAGTTTTTCAATTGAAATCTGTATTTTTGTTCATTTTAGAATACAAATGAAATAAAACTACATTACTATTATTAATTTACATTCATAATTACAGAGCATGATATCTTACAATGTGTTCATTTTGGACAGAAATGACTGTTAAATAAATTGTTACTAGAAAGAAATATCTGTGCAGTATGTGGGGCTTTTGAATAACAAATTAATAAAAAGTGGCACATCTGTGAAAAAAAACACAACTCGGTTGAGGCTCAAACACAGTACTTGTGCTAACAAAAGAAATGTAACAGTCATATATTAATCACAATACTTCACACTTCTTGTAGCATTGATTGAATTTCAATGTAGCGTTTCTTTATGTACTCAAGACATGAGGCACTTTTGTAGGATTAACCGGGACTTTTTTCAGTGTTTAAATTCAATAAGCCAACATAACTTTGACAAATATTATACCAAAAATGACACTTTAAATTATCACCTGTGTTTACAGCAGACAGAAAAATGTATTAGGCCTAAAAACAAATTCAATATTTGAGGACTCTTGAACCTTTTGGAAAGTTGGTGAGTGACTTTACCAAGTATCTGACAAGATGTTGCGGTAATTTTTTAACACATTTGTGTTTTTAAAAGGTATGTAGATTATTTTAAATGCTGCGATTTCCCCATTTTTCTCTTTTAGGATGATGCTCATTATCACCCTCAATGACCAGTCATACTGAATAAAGGCCAGGGCTGGCTTTGATTCTCTTGGCACATGTTGGTAAATGTCACCAATGGGCTATAGCAACCAGATTCAATTAAAAACAGCAGCTCAGTGGACGGATGCTTGTAGAGTCCAGAGGTAGTGAGGAGAAGGAAGATGGCAGCCTTTATACACGCAGAAGTGCTGACCGGACTTTCTCTGTGGTGAGTTGATACTGCTGCTGTTTGATGATGTCAAGGCAGTCTCTGAGAACCTTCAGACATGTACACATTAGTATTAAAAGATGTCAAAGTGGAGGCGGGAAAAGATAAATTGTATTGGTAATGCTTTATACCTTTCTGGTGTCCTGAGGCAGAATGACTCCATCGTCCCAGAGTCTGCCGGAGGAAAAGAATGCTGAGCTCTCCTCATCCAGTCTCTTATTTAGCTTGTCCTCCTGCTTCTTCTTCTCCTCCTCCTCTTCTGCCTCACTGTCAGGGGAAGGCAGAGAGGCAGCGTGACCCGGAGCCGTCATCGACACTCTGGCATTGGGCCACAGGAACAGGAAATTAGGGTCAAAAGCCCGCCCACACTAGAAAAAAAAACAGAAACAGGATTCAAATGATTGTGGAGTTATTCTAGATTCTACATGAGCGTAAAGTATGATGATGAAGAAAAGTACGGAAAAGATTATGAGAATCTCACCATGGCGTAGCTGTCTGCTCCATGGCAACCACCAATTACCATGGTGATTTTTGGGACGGAGGCACACGCTACTGCTGACATCATTGAACCCTGAGCCTTCAGGCGGTTAGTGTTCATCTCTGCCTGGAAGAGAAAGAAAAAAAAACACAGAGAAAAAAAAACAGATGTTGATTATTTCAAAATGTTTCATAATTTTCACAATTGTATTATTTCCCCAAAGTCCCAAAATATCAAGGCAAGGCAAGTTTATTTATATAGCACAACACAAGGCAATTCAAAGTGCTTTACAAAAATGAAAGTCATTAAAGCTCCCCTATTATACTGTTTTCATCAATATATTATAGGTCTCAGATATATACAAAACATGTCTCCAAACAGATTATGCATTGTAGCATCCCATAATCCCCTCTGTTTCAGCCCTGTTTCTGAAGTGCTGATTCTCTGTCTGTTACTTTAAACTGGCTACACACCAACCCGATTTTGGGAGTCAGAGGCCGTCAGAGGCCGTCAGAGGCAGTCGGGCATTCGCGGCGCCCTACTCCGGT